TCCCCCCTAGATGTTGCTCTCTGTGATTGAGGCGTCAAAAGCCGCTTTGAAGCACGGCAAGAACTCAAGTTTGGTGATGCGAGTAATCTTGCTGCGCATCAGCCGCTCGGCTTGGCGGCCATAGGCCTTCTTCAACGGGGCAAAACAGCCTACGTCAAGTGGCTGCAGTAGGTGCGACAAGTGTGGAGGCATACACAGGGTAATAATCTTGTGTTCCTTGCAGTACTGGTGGAATTCAACTGAGTTGTGGCTCTCGTGGCCGTCCAGAATAAGCAGCTAATGGCTGCTAACAGTGCGCGCCTTTGTGTGCTCATCAAAGTGCTTCAACCACTTAACTCTAAGCTTGTTGTTGGTCCAGCTGTTGTCAGAGACATTAAGAACCTAGTTATTAGGTATACTAGGCTCCTTATACTAGGTAGAGAGGTGGTGCTTGCTAGAGAAGATAATAAAGGGTGGGATAGACCAGCCCTTCGCGCAGATGCCTTGGATGATGCTGGTCTACTCTTAGTTGCCCTGCTGCACTGCCTTTGGTCTCCCTTGACGCTCAGAGCCTGTGACAACAGCTCCTGTTAATATAACGCCTATTATAAAGCTAGACTTGTTAAAGTTGTGGGTGTCTTTATCTTGTATACTATACTTAGCTTTAGTATTCTCTACTAGTTAGAACTAGTCCCTAATCACCTTAGGATCCTTACACAGAGCTCTCTTATAGTTATACTTGCAATTAAATTTGACTTTGAGCTCTGGCCGACATTTTACAAAGTTGGCAGCCTAGTTCTTGCCAACGTAGGGCTGGTGGCGCTCAGCAAGCAGAGAATTGGCCATATCCTCCACATCAGCAAGCCGGGGTGGGTATCCTCGCTCGTCTAGCTTCAATACATGCTGGACAATCACCTCCTCCTTAGTACTAGTCATCCTTATTATGTTGGGCTTGCAATCGCGTCGTGAAGAGGTTCTAGTAAGGCGCGTGCCTAGGGTGCTTTAAGAGACCTGGTATATTGCTGCAGCGCGTCGCACGCTTAGTGTCGCGTCTTGCTGGATAGCCTGGAGGGCAAGCTGTATATGTGTTTCATTTAAAGGCTTTTTTACGTTGTTGCGTTGAGGCATTACAGGGAGAGTGAAGTTCGGTGTGGTCTTGGCAAAAGTGGCCAGCTCGCTTGGGTGGCCAGCTCGCTTGTGGAGTACGTTAATAGTATTATTTAGAAGCTTTACTATTATCTATATCCTCTATTTCTACCTTATAAGTATAGGAATTATGTCTAATCTTACTACAATACCTATAGTGTTATCTAACACACACCCTCTTTACAGGTGTCTTACTCTTACTACAACCTCTACCCTCCTTTTTAGTAATTAAGTTAACGTAAACCCCCAGCACCCGGGCCAACCCAGCACCCGGGCCAAAAAAGCTTGGCAGTACCAACTCACGTTACAACTCTTCAATTTCATCGCTATTTAACATAGAGCCTGCGTACACTGTGCTTGTATCTAATTTAGAATATGCCTCTATATCTTTTTTACACGTTCGCGCGTTGTGTCTAGTCCCTCCACAGTTTCTACAGCGCTGTAGAGCTAGTTGAGCTTGTTCTTAATTACTACTACTACAAGCCTTCTTCAACCGCTCAGCGGCTACAGAGGCCTCTGCAGCCACCTAAGCTGCTGCCTCACCATACTCTATAGTACCACCTTGCTAGATCTGCTTCCTTTTGCGCGATTTCCGCTTAGTTATTACTGCTAATTGCTCTTCAAGCTTAGTAATCTGGGCTGCTTGAAGCGCGTTCTAATACAGCATAAGCTCACTGCCTCTAACAAGCTAAGAGAAGCCTGCTTGCGCAGTAATAGGCAACTAAGTAAAAGACTCGCGTACAAGCTTTGACTAAGATCTAAACTTGTAGGTATTGCTTAGAGTCTTTAACTGCCACAGCGTCTCTAGGAGGAGGGGTTCTAGTGGGGTACGCAGGCGCACTTTAAGGCAATCTAACACAACCTGCGTGTTAAGAGGGACTAGCCCTGCTGCCTTAAAGGCCTTGTGACAGTTCTCTGCTGTAAACATGTTAAAAAACGCGTCCTTAAAGGCAGGGAGGAAGCCTTCTTTGTTAATATAGAAGATATGCTTGTGTGCTAAGTCTTGTACGTGCTGAGAGTACTTGCGCTTTAATAGCAAGAAGCAGACTACATTAAGCAGCTAGAGGATGTGCGATAAGTAAGGTAGCATGCAGAGGGTAAGGATTATGTTTTTAAGGCAGTAGTCCTTAAAATCCTGGTTGAGGTGGCTCTTATGGCCGTCCAAAATGAGCAGCCTGTACGCCCCCACCTGGCTCGCCTTTGTATGCGCGTCGAAGTGCTTCAGCCACTTAAGGCTGAACGCGTTGTTCGTCCAGCCGCTCTCGGAGACGGAGAGCTTCCAATTGCGTGGTATATCTGCCTCCTTGTACCAGGCAGAGATGTGAACGCGTCCTTTGTAGATGATGAAAGGCAGGGTACAAGATCCAGCAGCGCAGACGCTCTGGATGACTGTTACCCACTCGCGATCACCTAGCTGAATAAGCTGAGGTTGATTACGTCTCTCTGCGCCTGTAACAACCTTTATTAAGCTAATAACACCTATCTAGAAGCTAGTCTTGTTAAAGTTGTGCACGTTGTGGTTGTGTACGCTGTATTTAGCTTTTGTGTCCTCTACTAGCTTAAACCACG